AGCAGGTGCAGGCAGAATAAGCAGGGAAGGAAAGGGGCCTGTGGAAGCAACAGTGTGCTCTCAGGCCCAGTAGTAAGAAAGCAGAGGTTACTCTGACTGCTCCAAGTGCAGGCTGCAGAGCTCAGAAGAGCTGGGAAGGATGGGCAGGGGAGGAGAGCACAGTGGGCCGGAAAGGGGCTTCCACGCTGGGAAGGCTTTGTCTTTGTTCCAAGGTTAGTGCGAAGGCATCAAAGGCTCTGGGCAGGGAAGTGGAGTTTGCTTTTGAAAGACTTTTGAAGGACTGCTTACTGGTGTGTGGACACTGGGCAAGCGGGTTAGAAGATTATTGGCAATGAGGCTCCGCCAGTGGTCCAGGTGAGAAGGGTCAGTGGCCTGGCCCCTGTGCAGGTCTCCAAGACGGACAGTGAATGAAGCTGACAGATTTGGAAGGTGATTCTAATGGGAAGGCCTTTGTGATTGAATAAATACGAGACTAGAGATACGGACTTTGCAAGATTCAAGTTAGCAATCTCTAAATTACAGTGTAGTTTTCAGACACAGCACGGGGGAGACAGGTGCAATTTCTGTGCAGTGAAAACTAGCTTAACCATAAATTATGTTCTGTGCCTTTAAATCAGTAGGTGGAACCCACACCCTCATTCCTAACTATTAATCAAAGTCTTCATAGACAATAGACTTTATTGGCACCACAAAGCAGCACATGTTCTTGTGTGAGGAGTAAGTGGATGTCATTGACCACACCCAGCCATGCTTTACAGATGACCTCCCAATCCTGTGAATATCTAGGCAGCAAATCATTAACTTTTTTTGTATAAAAGAGGATCTGATCCACAAAAGGCTTCCACAGAGGTCTCTGTGAAGTTGGAAGAATTCATTTTTCATTTTGAACTCATTTTCACCACTTTTCTCTTGAAATCCAAGTCCTTCGTAAGACTTTTTATAACACAGTACAACTCTGTATACTAGTGGACAACTCAACTCAGGGATGTTTCTTTGATAATCTATGACTTTAAGCATAGTTATGAATTCGTTTCTCTTCAAAGCAAGATAAGTATTGTTCTCTTCCATTCCTGTACAAGTTCTGAGCGCTCAGTGAGTTTCAGCCTGACTCCTGTTTCTATTTTAATTGGGTCATTTGCTAGAGAGGGGATTGCTGCCCCTTGTGAGCTGGAAGGCATCTCTGAATGATGCAATTTCTAATTACATCTAATTACAGTTTTCTTGGAAATATAGTCTGTGACCCTGGATACTTCTCACTAAAATCCTAAACATCAGGTGGCTTCATTTTCTCCATTCCTCTTTTGAAAATTCAAAAACAAAGAAAATCACATGGTATTTTTTTATTAGCTTGTGAGCCATTTCTTTTCCACATTCCTTGGTCAAACTCTGCTTTTCTGAATGGTGGGCATTTGCCAGTTCTACCCTGGAAAGACCACAATCCAAAAACTGACTCCTTTGTATACAACAATTTCATAAAATTGACCATCATTTCACTTCAAACTTTTCCACAGGAACTATTGAATGTAATTCCCATTGTACTGTTTTCAGTACTGGTTTTTGTTACACAAATCAGGGGTCATTTTATGAAAACAAAGAACTCAAATTTTGACCTTTTTCCTTTTCTTTTTACTTCTTGAACTTATTCTTCCTATTGACTAACCTCTTCCTCTGGATGTTATATTTAATGTTTAGATAGCATTTTTAAAGTAACCAAGATGAAAATAAGGTTGTGTAAGGAAGAGTGAATGTTTAATTGCTTGATTGATCTTGTATGCCTTTATCTGATAAATTAAGCAGCAAATTTGATGATAGCAATATGTAATATAAGAACCATTGTTCATTTTCTATTCTTGTTCTGAAATTTTGTACCATTTTTTTTTGTTGCTGTTTTCTTTGTTCTTGCTTTTTTTTTTCCCCTCTTTAAAGAACAAAAGAAAATACGGTAAAAATGCAAATGGAAGCTATATCTTCTTAAAGTGATTTTTTCAACTAATTATGACTTTATGCTTCTCAAAAATATAAGGAAAATCTTAGATGCAATCAAAGGCCATAAGAGGCATGGAGGTGAGAGGAAAGTGAGCTCAAAGGACATGTATTTAAAGAAAGACAGCGTGGTTCTCTTTCCCACCTACAAGTAAGCCTCTGTGATGCCATGGTTTCTGGCATTCTAGAGAACTGTCCTAATGCCCATCTTTCTTCCTTGATGAAGATGAGGATTTTCCAGATGGGAGAGCTAAGGCTGATAGAATACTTTGCTCACCAACTGGTGCAGAGAAATTGTGCTGTGGGGTATCAGCAGTGAGGTCCTCTTTGTGTAAATGCTGAGTCTGTCTGTTAATTAGAGGAAAGGTGTTGGACGGTGAATCTGGGAAAGTGAGTTTTAACTCAGAACTGGATATTTATAGTTGTATGGACTTGTTTAAGTCATGTGCCCCAGATAAGCTTATCTCAACTGTCCCACTTGGACAATGAGTTTACAGACTGACATTTTCCTTCTCCAGGGAACCATGACACATCCTTCAGTTAAGTCTGTGTTTCTTAGGTGAAGGAGAATAACACTACTGATAAATTTTTCTATTTAAAGGGTTTTATATTTTTGTTACATTTACTAATCACAGCAATATCTAAGGTATTTTATGAAGTCTTATTGTAATTTACAAGTTCATGGAAGTCAGATATGTTCTTATGTATGTAGCATAAAACAAAGTTCCTATTAGAACTCAAGTCTCTGATTTAACAGTGCTTGATAAAAAGACCCAGGACTGGCCATTTCAGTGGATTGTCCAATGACTCTGAAGTTGTGGACATCAAGAGAATGATCTGGTGTGGAAAGGGTGGCTGTGGTGAGGTGACCACAAGACTGACAGAAGAGAGGGTTTCCCACAGTTGGCGAGAAGAAAGAAAACACAAGAGTTAAGGTATTGTTGAGTCCCCAAAGCAGGACTGCCTCCTTACATTGCTTCTTTCTTATGAACAGAACCCTGTCTGACCCCCACTTCTCTTCTTCCTTCCACTCTTTCAGGCAACTGGGCATGGATTTTTATTTTTTATTGATGTGAAGAGAATAGTTTATTTTCAAAAGGGGCACAATTTCTGACCTCTAAAAGATGTCAAACAGCCAGGCAACTAGATTGCTTCACTGGCTTTTCTCTGCACTGAAATGCTAAGGCTCTTCTATGGACTCACCTCCAACTTGGGAAAGAGGCTTTATGGCCTTCAGATATTGGCAAGACATAATATAAAACAAATTTTTTAGAAGCAACAATTGTGATTTTCCTATTAATATTTTCATATTTTAAGCACAGCAACAACAAATGTCCCTTTTACATGTTCCTACCAGAATGAGCCTCTTTCTCCTTTTAAAACAGACGGGACTGACCAAGCGTGTACTGCAGACTTTGTGTCTTTCTCAGTTTGAGGCTTTCTATGTGTATCAATAGCAGACAAATACTGTAGTTCTAATATCTTAGAGTCATACCCTTCAAATGCCTGTAGTGTGACAAAAGATAAGAGCACAGCCTCCAAACCTCCATATCGGTTGTTGCCATCTGCATCCAAAACCTTGACCCCTGTCTCAGGTTAGGCCAGGGATGAGCCACAGGAGCACGGCTCTTATAGGAGCAGCAAGGAAGGTGTAGAATCTTAAGTGCTGGCTCCCTGCCAGTGTGCTGCTGAGTGCAAGTGTCTCCTTTCATTCCACACAAAGGGCAGATTGTTCCTCAAGGGATGCTCCCAGCATCTCAGGAGCCAGGAGGCATGGAATTGACAAAATAGAGTGAATGTTCCCTTCAATTTTGTGTCAGGGGTTTAGAGTCTTTCTTATCCCAAACCAGCATTAGTCTCAAAAGGCCGCAACCAGACACAGGGACGGAAAGTGGGTATCATAGCTCCATCCTCCAGGGGCTGCCACTGCTCACTTCCTTGGTACCGACTTCAGTGCCAGGTAGCATGTAGGAACAGAATTGTGGCACTTTCTGAGTTACTGTGCGGCCACACACTTCCACACACTTCTACACACTTCTACACAATCCTCCTTATGAACAGTACAAGGAGGATTTAATGAATGAAGCACACAAGGCAAAAATAAATGCTGCTCTTCCTGGAGCTCCCAGATCACCTGACTCAGTTGCAGCCTCTATGAGGAGGCTCAGAGTTAATGTGCTCTTTCTGGATGTGGTTGTGAGCAGCCATTGGTGAAGGGACCCAAGCCAAAGGCCAAGGTCTTAGACCAAAGAACTCTGGATTTTGCAACAGTATTTGAAAATGATTTCATTGAAAAAAGTAGGATATCAATTCTGTAGGACTTTTTCTTGCTTTGTGATAATTCTCTCCTCTTTAAAAATCATAAATATGAAATAATTATCCCTATACATAAGCTTTTTTATTTTTTATTTTTATTTGTATTTTATGGCAGGTTCAGCCCACTCTAGGGGCAGGGCTGGCACAGCAAGTGATGCCAGGGATCAAACCACAGTCCCTGCACTTGCCTAGGTTCACCTAAGCAGGTGCTTTAGACCGCTGAGCTATCTCACCAGCTCCCTATACATATGTTGATAGTGTTATCAAACTACTGAGAGATGGGCACTTTGAAATATTTTTACAGTGGTAGAAATTTGTTCTGAAAAAGATGGAATCTCCTCTTTCTCCCTTTTTCACTTAGTTCCTTTTGTGTAGTTTGCCCGAACTTAGTGAGATCAAATATACATTTTTTTTTACTGCAAGCTTAGGCAAGCACAGCTGTTATTCATTGATTTCTTGATGATTGCTATTCTTTCTGGCATAAGATGGAATCAGTATTGTGTTAATTTGCATTTCTCTAAGGTCCAGAAATGTTGGACATTTTCTCATATGTTTGTTGGCCTCTTGCATTATTTATTCCTCTGAGAAGTGGCAGTTCATTTCACTTGCTCATTTCTTGACTGGGTCTTTTGTTTTAAGTAAACAGAAACATTTTATGTCATAAACATGAGATACAGTTAATAATATGAAGAAGATCAAAAATGGGGAAAGCAGATTCAAAGGTGAGAGAGCGAGAGGCAGAAGGTAAAGGGAAAGAGATTGAAAAAGGTAACAAAACTATACTATAAACTATATGTACTGCATACAAATGTACTAAAAAAATAAAAAAGCAACTAGTACTCTGTGCTGCCTGTTACTATGAGTAATTAACCATAGCAACAGTAGCAGCAACAGCCCAACACACAGTTGACCATCTCCTATTTGTGTGCTCCGTCCTGGGATGTCTACCCATGAGGCATGATTTAAGGTTCACACTAGTCCTGAAAGGAAGCTCTTATTTAGCTGCCTACACAAAAGAAGAAATAGAGGCCAGGAGACACTGTGAACAATAGGCAGTGAAGTTAGAATGGGCAGAGTTAGAAGAGCTTTTGACTCCAACATCTGCATACTTTGGACTTCCAAAATTGCTGTGTTGGGACACAGACTGACACAACTGAAGTGACTCTTGCTTCAATTTGAAGTACACTTCCAGCTAAAGGTGTGTAGGTCAACTCGTTTTTGTGGTTACTAAAGTCTGCTTTTGTCTTCTGACCCCAGGTAGAGAAATGGGCTTTCTCAGGGCAGAAAATATGCAGCTCTGCTTCTATGTCTTTAAGGAAATGAGCTATGACCACACACCAGGGAATCTTTGTTTTCCTCCCCTTGTTTGCCTATGTGCCAATGCCGTGGTGCTCTTTGGGGGCAGAAGTGAAAGCGTAGAGCAGCTGGAGAAGGTATGTCACAAACACACAATCCTGTCTGGAAGACAGTCAAGTGATAATTCCACTAACATTAACATTTCATGGAGATTTTATAGACATCCATCTTGTCAACACAAAATAATAATCACCTAAACCTAAAGTTTCTTAGGAAATTTCCTTTAGAAAACAGAAACATAAAGGGTGAGAATTCTCATAGCTCTCTCCAAAGACAGAGGAGTTGGAGGAGGAAGTAATTAGAGGACTGAACAGGGAGAAGCAGTCAATGAGACCAGTCTGGACCAATAGCATGTGGGAGTTTTCATTTCTACCCACACCCATGCATTTCCATTTCCAGAATCTTCTTCTGTGGATCAGCACCCCCAAATGCTTTTCAAATTCAAGACCATTTAATGTCCTCTGAGATGAGATCTACCCCTTCTTATCGGTTCTGTTTTCATAAATCACAACTCCAGACTAGAAGAATGAATACATTGTGTAGGATTGTATCCTGGGTACAGCAATTAGCTAGTGCCTCCCACACCAAATACTTAGGAAACTTTCCAAAGCTATTTATGAGTGTTGACTAGATAATTACTGGTTGGATAAATAACTATGGATCACATAAGGAATATTTTAAAAGGCTTCTGCCCTCAAGGAGTTCGTAATCCAGTGGAAGAATTTGTGTTTCACATAATTACATTTCGAAGGGAATCATTGGTGCATTTACTATACTGAGAATTGTCAGTGAGGGTAAAAAATGCTTCTTTCAACATACCTTAATCATCTCTGTGATTAGCTTGAAGAGAATTGTTAACAAATTTAAAGTTTCTGTCAATTTAGCATTTAAGATGGAAATTAACTTGATAGATTGGAGTCTAACACTGAGTTTAATATTTAAAACAAATTCTTGAGATTGGGTAAGCGATGGGAATCTTTCCAAGTTGCTTTGGGACGTGGATGTCTAGGGTGGAATCTGCTGCCTTGTCTCCTTCCTTCAGTGCAAGGGACTTGCTGCTGGCCCTATCTACACATGAGAATACTTCAGATTTTGCAACCAGGGAGTGGCTTGTCCCACAGGGCTAATGCCACAAGTCAGGCAGAGAGTTTGAAGTGGAAATAATTGTCTCCTCTGATTGCAAAGAAACCTGAGTTATAGTAGAAACAGCACATTCAAATTTTCCTTTGTTGATTCCTATCTGTGATGGAGAAGTGTCTGTCATATTTTATCTCAACTCTGATTCTCTCCTACCATGTACAAGGATGGATCTGGGTGTTCCGAAGTCCAGATTAAATAATTGTATTTTCTTTTGCTGGTAAGGATGATAATGTTAACAACATTGATTGAATCAATACTGCTGCTGCTGCTCCTGCAGCCCTTGGCTTAGGCAACAAGTCTTGTGAGAAGACTCTCAAGCAGGATGAGAAGTGGTAATGCTCATCAAATTCCAACTGTCTGTACTTAAATCTTCACTGTAGTGCAGCAGCCGAGAGTTTCTCATTTGTGTGAAGTGCTCCTATAAGGCAGAACTTAGTATTAAGAAGTAGTTTCTTAATAAACACGCTAAGACAAGTCTGAATATTTCAAAATTCTTCTTTGCTTTGAGCTAAAGCCTATATCCAGTAACCATTGTTTCATTACAATGTTCTTGCTCAGAAAAGACATGTGCATAAAAATGAAGTTCTCTTCCATGTTTATCTTAACAGAGTTGCAGCATTTGTCCTGGGTCTACTGACTCTTTGTTCTATTTCTACTCTTGACACCACATAAATCATAATACAATCCCTACATTCAAATATTTAAAGTGAGTTGCACTGTCTTACTTCAGCTGTGCCCTGATGGAGATCTTTGAAAATTATGGTTATATTTCAACTAAAGTCAATAGTCCCTATTGGACTACAGGGACTATGCTAGCTGGCAGAGGAATACATGACACAAGTACTGCAATTTCAAGATTTGTTGAAGTGTAAAATCAGATGACATTTGTGAAAACAATCTGAAGATAATGGCTTATTATGTCAATTTGTCACTATTTTGTATGCTAAGTACAAAATAGCGAATTATTGCAAGTAATACCATTAGCCACTTCAAAAGACCTAAGGGTCATTCATTTTTTCCGTGTAATTTACTCATTCTTCATAATAATCTTTGAGTTTCCTCAAAGGCTTTACATGAAAAGATGAGTAAACATTGCTAAGGAGCAACACTAGTGAAAAGGAATTGACTTTAAAATAACTGTTTAACATCCAGCTCTTAGTCTGTCCTAAACATTACAAAGGTGACTATTCATATTGTATATGTGCATTGTATTTCCTATATAAAAAAGTTTGGGTGTTAGTCTTCAAATGCTAGTTTATAACAATTTCAGTCATATTTTAGACAGTTCCAGTTGAGGTATAAAAGTCATCAATAGTTCATGATTAAAACAATGACATTAATGACATTGCAGTGTTGGCAAAGAAGGAACTTGAAATTTTCCTCTTAGTCATTAAGGTATTGGCCAATCGACATGTTAGTTCATGCCTATAATCCCAGCATTTTGGGTAACTGAGGCAGGAAGAAAACAAGTTACAGACTAGCTTGGAAATTTAGCTACTTAGGACTCTAGCAACATAAAAATAAAAATAAGAAGGCTTGGGGATGGCTGTAGCTCAAGGTGAAGGTCTTTTCAATTCACAAAAGCCAGCAGAGAGCAAGGGAGAGGGGAGATATGGTAGTCCTAGATACAAGGTACAATTTCAGACTGTTAAAGCTGTTTTCAAGGGGCCGGGGAGATAGCTCAGTAGAATAAGTGCTTGCCTGGAAAGCACAAGGTCCTGAGTTCAATCCCCAGTACCACACACACACACACACACACACACACACACACACACACACACAAAACCCTCAGAAACTGTCTTTATGGTTGAACCATTAACCTCTAGTAGCTATTTGTTTACTCAGATATTTGCTGCAAAAATGAAAAGGCATATATTTGCTTAATTGAGCCTAGTCTTGCATAAAGATATTTACATATAATTTATTTTTTGTGTTCTTTTTTATTTTCACCTTATAGAAATATATATATCATATTATAGAGAACAATTATACCAAATAAGATCTGAAAATTTAAACTTTAAACATAATACAAGAATATCTAGAGTTCAGATTAATCTGTGGGTTAAAAACAAACCCAAGGTAAGAAGAAAATTAAAATTCCTACTTCTCCTCCTCCTGCTTCTTATTTTAGGGGCATAATTTATATTTAACTGGTTTTAACAAATACACATCAAGACACAGGATACTTCCCTGTACTCCATAAAGTTCCTCTGTGTCCACGTCCCATCAATCACCCTGAAGAAATCACTGCTGCTATCAAATTACTATCTTCACAGATTAGTTTTGTCTACTATTGAATTTCAAAGAAATAGCATGTTATAGCTTTCTACACTCAGCATATAAACTTTAGGATCAATGCATACCTGCTGTTTGGCACACCAATGGATGATTCTTTCACTTTGCTGAATAATTTTCCAGTGTGTGAATATACCACCACTTTTTTATCCATTTTTTAAAATCTTATTTATTTATTTGGTGCAAGGTCTACCGGCAACTTAGACTCTTAATGATCATCCTGTCTCAGTCTACCCAGCACTGGGATTACGGGCATGTGCCACTAAGTCCAGTTTTGGGGTTTGCATGGCATTCAGTCCAGGGGATCAAACCTGGGTCCTTGTGCTTGCCAGGAAGACACTTAGACCCGAGCCACCTTCCTAGCCCTCCATTTTCATGCTAGTGGACTCCTGGGTTGTTTTCCAATGTGGGATTGCTATATATAATGATCTTGTGAACATTTTTGTAAAAAGCTGTTTGTTTATACAGTTTTCCACTCTTGTTAAATAATACCTTGTGGTGGAACTGCTAGGTCATAGGATAAGAAAATATGACAATTTTTTTAAAAAATAATTTTATTGAGAAACAGACAGCAATGAGACAGTTTCAAAACTGATTAATAGCACAGTTTCAATAATTAATACATTGCATAGTGTTGTCTTAGTGGTTATTCACTGTACAAGATGCAGACATGGTATCCTGTCTGCAGACACTATTAGAACAAATCTCTCTATTCATTGAATTAAGAGAATGCAGCTGTATATCTATCCTAACTATTTTGAATATACAGATACCAAATGGTCATTCATTTGTATCCCCCTTTTTTGCTTAGTTTTGTCAGAGAAGGGTATTCCATTGCCATTTAAATACTGTAGGTGAATGAATTCAGCAAAATATTCCAATATAGTCCAGTAGTCCATAATAGTAATGTGTTTTCTGTAGGACTGGCAATGTCAGAAGTTGTTGACTTGAGCCTTTTACATCTCAGCATATTAATATGGCTTTACTTTTTATACTTTGTGTTTATACTTTACTGCTGGATGGTTAAGACCAAGACAAAGCAAGACCTGTGTTCTTGGGGAAGATTTTTAATGTTTTCTTCTTTTACACTTGAGTTATCACTGCATCTCCCAAGTTACCATTTGTGTAAGATTATTTCTGTAGGTAAAGAAACAAAGAGGTAGTAACAGTGCAGCATTCAACAATACAGCAAGAATGACTCATCCCGTTTTATACATTGCCCTCCAACGAAGAGGTAGGCAGAACTCTCGCTTTGTTGTCTTCAGAGTCTCACACTTTGTTTATTAAAGACTTTAAATATTTCTCTTTTTTCTGTCTTAGTGACTTTTCTCATTGCTGAGACAAAATATCTGTCATCTAAATTTAAAGGAGGAAATGTTATTTGGCTCACACTTTGTAGAGGTTTTGGTCTGTAGTTGGTTGGCTCCAAAGCAGAGTGGCGTAACAGAGGGGCATCACAGAGGAAATAGCTCAGGGCAGGCAAAAGGTAGCAAGACGGCCAAGCGTCAAGTGATAAGCAAAGACAGCAACTGTAGCAACCACAGCAACCTTCTTTCAGTCCCTTATATTCTGTTAAGGCTGGCTCCCCTTAGGTGGGCGGCATTCACACCCAGGGTAGGGTACTCTTAATCCTAACACCTTTAATTCAAGCAATCACATCTTTAAACCCAGCATCACACACTCTAGATCCAGCCATCTCCCAAAAGCCCCACTTATGACCACAGGAGGCTTGGTTGCGGGGGAGTGGGGACACCTCCGTACAAGCAATTGTTGATAATAAATTGTAAGTAAAGGGCCATCGAGATAGCTCAGCAGACTAAAGCCCCTGCTTAGACAATTTTAAGCAGGTGCAGGGACTGTGATTTGATCCCTGGAACCACATGCCATGCAACCCCTGCCCCCAGGGTGGGCTGAGCTGGCCACAGAGTCCGGTTGTAGTGATGCATGCTTGTAATCCTAGTGCTGGGGGAGGCTGGAAACAGGATGATCGCTATGAGTCTGAGGTGTATAGTGAGACTCTGTAATAACCAATTACACTGAATAATAATAATAATACATACATACATACATGTATACATGCATATATACATGCATACATAAATTCTGAGTAAAAGATAGTTTTTATTTTGAAAAAATATGCTTTGACCTTGTTTGAAGATACTGACATCAATCATTTATGTCAGTTTCAAAAAAGAATTTCAAATGAAAGCTGTCAAAGTAATTCATGTTTCCTAGGATGAATTCATTATTCCCCCTCCCCCAAAGGTGAAATCCTAGGGCGCTATCCAGCAGCCTCACTTCTTCTGCTTAGTAAGTGTGGTCAACACATTCTCTTTCAGAGAAAGAATGCACTGGAGAAGACCAAGCCAAAGCGCTGGTGTTCAGGCGGATGAGCAGGTCTCATAATTTCATTTGGGGTTTCTTTAAGATTGTTCTCAGTACTTTTAATGTTGAAGTATGTTAAAATTGTCTAGCATTTGGTGGGCAAGTTAATGTCTAAATAACCATCTTAGCTACATAGTTGCCAAAGAACTGAATAAGATTTACAGTACATTTATTGTGAAACCTCTCTTTTCAATTCTTCAAGCTGTTTAACCCTGTATAAAAACAGAAATACTGTTGTTAGCAGTATAGTTATACAATTAGAAATTGGTGCAAAATATCTTCCTGAAATAGTTCATAATAATTCAGGCTGTGGCTTAGGTTAAATAACTAAGTATTAAAAATTCAGTTACTCTCTTCCTCTGCGCTGCCTACGGAGGTGGCAGCCATCTCCCTCTTGGCACCGTGGCAGCCCTCAGACCCCTCGTGAAGCCCAAGATCGTCAAAAAGAGGAACAAGAAGTTCATCTGGCACCAGTCAGACCGGTATGTCAAAATTAAGCGCAACTGGCGGAAACCCAGAGGCATCGACAACAGTGTGTGGAGGAGGTTCAAAGGCCAGATCTTGATGCCCAACATAGGTTATGGAAGTACCAAAAAGACAAAGCACATGCTGCCCAGAGGCTTTCGGAAGTTCCTGGTGCACAATGTTAAGGAGCTGGAGGTGCTGCTGATGTGCAACAAGTCTTACTGTGCAGAGATTGCTCACATCTCCTCTAAGAACTGCAAGGCCATCGTGGAAAGAGCAGCCCAGCTAGCCATCCGAGTCACCAATCCCAATGCCAGGCTGTGCAGTGAAGAAAACAAGAAGACAGCCTGTGTGCATGTTTATTTGTGCTTCAGTAAAATCACAAAAAATGCAAAAAAAAAAAAATCAGTTACTGGGGCCTGCCAAATAACTCACTGGATTAAAACACCTGCTTAGAAAGATGCAGGGGCAGGGAGATTCGATTCCCAGGCCTGCAGTGCAGGCCCTGTCCTCGGGGTGCGCTGGGACTGGCAGTTGAGCCTGGGCATGGTGGTGCCCTTCTGTGATCCCACCTTTTGGGGGAGTGTAAACAGGCAGATCACTACAAGTCCGATCTATGAAGTGAGACCCTGTAGACCCTGTCCTAAACACACACACACACACACACACACACACACACACACACACA